AGGCGTGACAGTTTTGGATTCACAAGATCTATATGTGTAACATCGAGTTGTCCCCCCATTTATTTACTTACCCCTAGATATTATCATATTACATTATCGAATATAACGTGATCTGTACAATACGATCAAAAAGAAAATTATACAACATTTTAAATATTTTTTCCAATTATTCAATTACCCATTTATTTTTAATAATGTAGGAATTATTCATTAATTTTAATTCGATATGCAGAACATTGTGATCCACTTTGCATGAAAATGATTCATATATATTTTTAGTAATCATTTTTATCAGTCAAGGATCATATGATTCTCGATACCAATTAAAGGTCTTGTGATAGTTAGAGTTACATCATATTTATTTTTAAATATAGAATAGGAATCACACGACCTTCGTAATTTCTAATTCAGATTGTTAAACAATGATTGACATAAAAGAATCTCGAAGAAGAAATTCTAAATATAATTCACATATAAAATTTTGTACGTCCACGAAAGGTATATAAACCCTTCGTTGTAAACTTAGTTCGAGGATCATTGTAACAATCATTATTATTATCGTGATCATCGTTGTTATAATCATTATATAAATATCATTATCAATATTCATCATTCATATAATTAATCGTTCAGAAATGTAATAATAACGAAGACATAATAATAAATTCCTAATAATTAGATAAAAAATCCACTCTCTTTAATTTTCACATTAATTAACAAAACCATCACCTTTCATAAATTATACACCGATGTTTACTAGCTGAGGGACGCCTTAGTCTAGTTGTAAATATGTAAATAATTATTTTATTTTTGAAGGTTACCGGTGAGCCTGTAAAACCGATGAATTTAATTTTGCACAAAGATAGACTATGAAAATAATTACAAGACCTGGGGGTAGACCGGGCATATACATAGCATAGAACATAATTTTATTGATACGAAACTGAGAGTAGATCGGGTGTCATAAAATATTTCAAATCTCGAGTACAATAAAAAGAAATTCATAATTATTATGGGCACGTGTCAATCAAAAACAATAAAGAAATTTTTTATAATTTCACAATGTCTTGATTGGCAAATTGCAAAAGTATTTAAGGATGTGGTATTTTATATGTAGATTGCATTCAGAATTTTTTTATGACAAACTCCAAAAATTTAAATATTAATAAAAAGTTTCATCGATCTCGCAAACTTGATTGAAACCTGTTCGTGTAATATGTATGTCGTGCATGTTAACGTAATGATGTATTACCTTTTGGGAAACTTCGTATGATCATATTTAAATGTCTCGAAACAACATATTTAATTCCCAAACCTCCCAAAAGAAGAGTAGTGGCATTTTACAATATTAGATTGACACAAACTAAATATTTTTTATGCATTATGCCCAAACATTCAAAAAATTTTAAAGAAATTACAAAATTACTTGGTATTATCTAGGGGTAAGTAAATAAATGGGGGGGACAACTCGATGTTACACATATAGATCTTGTGAATCCAAAACTGTCACGCC